CGATTGTTAACAACCGGTTCGTGGAGGTCATTAAATTCTAAGAACAGGTTCGTACGAACCGGCTGAATCCCACCACTGCAGTTATTACAAACAGTGATTTATAAACAAAAGTTTCACAAACTTAGAAGCAATATAAAGTCTTCTTTCTAGTCTGGAACTTCTTTGATATCTTATCAAGGTTTCATGATGTGCGAGTTAATTACAAGTTGATGTAGGTACAATTCGCTTAAAGGAAGCTAGCTAGCTTTGCCCTTTGTTATTTATCAGCCACACACCGTGAGTTTCCACGATGAATTTATATAATGTTTTGATAAAAATACTACTCTCTGATCAGAATCCACTAAAGTTAAATGATTTGTAATATTCAAACTTTGTAAAGGTTCCTGGTCAAATATCTGAAGTTTTCCGATTGATAAGCATTATAATAATCACAGTTATAGTTTCCAAAGTTTATAGCACACTGACTATAGCGAATTAATAATAGATACTCTTCTTTTTCGGCCCATCTCGTTGTTATATTTATAGCCATGTGAAGGTGTTCTAGAAATTTCAGTTTTACGTAACAATACTGAGCTACATTTAAGCATTTATGTATATACATATATTGTTGTTTCTTACTCTCAAGAATCTTCTACAACTTTGGAGAATAGATTGGGAGTTTCACAATACATATTTAACACAATAAGCTATGCATGTTTTAAAATATAAACTTAATCTAAACAAACGTTGATTTTAAATAAATATATAATAACAAATTTGTTACAAGACTCAGAGCATCGCTCCAGAAAGAAGAGACTTTAGCTGAATTTGTGGAAGATATGGGAAATCTTACCGAATTATCTTATCCAGATGCTTCTCATGAAATGATTAATTCATTGGCACATGACCAGTCTATAGACACCCACCATAACAGGCAAAGATATTAGAATCAGATATGAGAAACATGGTCATTACAGTCAAAACTGTGAGGAATTAACAGATGTTAAGACACCAAGTAGACAATACCCCAAGGATGGATTTTTGAACCCATCTAGATCAAAAGAACAATAAAAGATTAGCCATAGCACAAGAAAACATGAATTAGTTGGATTTATGAGACAAAGTTCAGCTGAAAATACTCCATCTACCATGAATGAGAAATAAAGTTCATTACTTGAGGAAAGTCATCCATGAGTTCACAGTATGCTGATTTACATTGGTTCCATCGCTACAGTTATTCATCATGATTTGTTAATGAAAGAGGGAGACTGCCTCCATAGATGAAGAAAGAAGAGTGATTGATGTGAATGGCAGATGGACATTAAGTTCCTGCAAGAGGGAAGATGGAAATTACCTTTATTTTAGGAAGATTCTGTGGGCCTCATAACATGTAGGTAACTTACATCAAGGAAAAGTACATTTTGGGAAATGACTTTATGTGGAGACATGGATGTCAAGTTGGGCTAGCCTCAGATAGCTTCATATTCTATGACTAGGAAAACCATGTACACTACATGGTAATTACTACACCAAAGGTTGAACATCCAGTGGAAACAGGGATGGTGGACATTTTACTACCAAGAAGTGAGATGTTCATATCAGGAGTTAATAGTAATAATTCTTCATCTAGTAACTGGGGCATAATGGAACCAAATACTCCAGCATATTATGAGTTAGTAGTTGGAAGAGCTATTCTGGATGTGAATATTAAAGAAGTTGTACATGTACTTAATTCAGCTGTGATATGCTGTAATTGCTTGTAATAGTATATACCATTGAGGTGACATGGTATGACTGAAAAGTTCTCATCGCAAAAGAAGACAAACTCCAAAGTTAAGTAGGTGTTTGGAGGAGATGCAATCCAAGCCAAAAGTCATTCACTGTGATCATCTTTGGAAGTATATCAGTATGAGAACAGTCAAATGAGTAACTCCACAGAAGAACCTGTTAATGGTACCTCAACCTGCGGAGGAGCCCGTAGTTCCTGTTGTGACTACTTCCAGAGGATCATCAAGGTTGGAGCTGCCACTAGGTTCACCTAACCACATACTCAGAAAGAACTTCCCTGGAGACAGGACAGCCAGTGATAACAAAGGACAAGATGCTGTTGCATTCATATATCATGGGTTTCAAAAGAGAAAACCACCAAAAAACTTTGTGAACTGACAGTTTAGTGTAGTACTATTATTATTTATTGGACTGGATGTTAAATTAGTTTCATCAGATAAAAGAACCCGCTAAAGAAAGACCAATGTTACAACAATATTATTTGTAAAATGGGAATGCAGCCTTCCATAAATCACAAGAAACTTGCTTAATGGAGATAATGTTACATGTTCAAGCTACTAAACACCTTAAATACCTTTTATCTGTTTTTAAATGTTGAAGTTAACATGTAAACAAGATATAATAAACATGAATCCATATTAAATTACTTACATCATATTTGTTTATTAAAAATGTATTACTGAATCATTGTATAAGTGTTTGGTATTGCAAAGAAAATATTATTTTATTGAACCAGTATTGCTGTTTTAAAATCTTGTGTTTTTCTGTATATTAAGTGAATGAGTTTTCAAATTCACAACTTAAAATTTTTTTATACTTTTACAGTATAATATTTTCTGCAAGTCAGTGTGATAACTTAAAAGGTGTTAAATTTATTGTCTTAAAAATTTCCTCTGTAGTTACTTTAATATGTAACGTTAAGAGTAGTGAGAATGTTCACTTGAGGATATCTTGTTTTCACAACAGTGGTCAGAAATTTAAGTATCATGTTGTTGTATTCATTGGGACATCAAGGTTTGCTTTATAAATTTTCTTCTTGATTTCAATAAATATTTAACAATATTTATGGCACAGTTAGGCATTATATCTTTTCAGTACATCTACAGTGCCCCGCTGGGTCAATCCTCTCCCAAGATAAAAATATGCACCCTTGAATTAAACAAAATTATAAAAATTAAACTTGTAGTCATTATTTCACAAATTAAAAAATAGTTCAAAATTTAAATTTATTCAATCAAAGTAAAACACCGTTAAGAAGTTCATAGTGAACTAAACATGTAATGAAAGCTCTTCAACTGTATAAGCCAATATGAATACCAATTCAGTGGAGACTTGTCAGGAAGCTGGAACAAAGTGAAGAGCTTAGTTTGGTAATATGTTGCTAGAAGAAAAAGATGTCTATGGACAACTTCCATTACAATTACAAATCTAATTAATTTTTTTTCAAACTTGTGAGCATCTTGTTTTATCATTTTATATTTCATTTGAGTTACGATGTTACAGTATGATAGGCAAACAAATGTTTTTCTTGGTACAAGAGGAGTTACAGATTTGTTAGATAATCTTGCATTTGCCATATCAAGTTTTTTTCATTGTCTAGGCTGCTATTTGTTAAGCCATGTATACACAAAGCCTTATCAGCCTAAGCAACTGCTTTAATTGGCAAGAAAATCACTGCAAAGAGATGTAAAAAACATACATAAATATCAATTTAAAACAAGTTTAAACTTATTAAAGGTATAAAAAGAAACCTAATTAACAGTTAAAAACGTTCAGCTTGCTTATGACAGGGTACGAAAAGTTATTTTTATTGTATTCCAGTGATTGTAAATACAATGAAACTGAGAATGTTTTTTGAATTTAAACAAAAATAAAACTGAGTTTTATAGAATAAAAATCTTATTGGAAGGTTTTAGAAAATTTAAGGAAGACAAAAAATAATTGAATGTGCAATAAAGGTAAGCATTTTTTGTTAAATATCACAATGAAATATTTTTGGCTTTTGAAAACTGCAAATTCACATGTAAAAATAAGATATTTTGCAGAAGCTGTTTACTCTGTAGAAAGTTCATCTCAAGTTTCAAACAATTTCATCTAATCGTGCCATTTTTTAATGCAATAAAACAGACCTTAAAACATGCATTGAATCAATGCACCTGGGCATTTTAGAGTGATGCTACATCAACAAATTAAATGTGAATGCATTTCCAAAAACTCAGTATCATGGAAATAGACTATCAGAGCTGTTCAAATGTTGGAAACTGAACAAGTTTTGTGGCAAGTATTAGATACTTTGATAATTTATATCCATATTTGGAAGTATGTATACACTTAGGCAACTAACTAGACAGCTTGGACAATATCATGAAAAGTCATTTTTGCCATGTAATTACTTTTGTGTACAAAACATGGCCATTAAGAACCATCAGTCTGTTTTGAACATTTTGTTTATTGTAACTGAAGTTCGTTGAAAGCTTAAAATATTAAATTAACCATTAAAATATTTTTTATCTCAGCTGTTTGAACAATAATTGTTGTGGTGAATCAAAGGTACTATGATATCTTAATTTTAACAATTTTTATTGTAATGGCCAAATTTCACCCAACTCGTGTTTATTAGATGTTCCTTTCTAGTTCTATTTTAAGCATCTGAACATAATAACATTATGTTTATAGAATACCTATATATTAATTTCTAAAGATTAGTAAAGTGTTGGCAGAATTGGAACAATAAATTAACTGATTTATCACCATTTTATGTGACTACTTGATGATCACTGTTTTTAAAAGTTAGCTTCTGATCTGGTTTTGGTAAAAAAAAAAATATATATATATATATTGTAATTTTATTATAGTCATATTATTGCTAACTTTGAATATCCTTGCATTATTTAAAGCCATTTAAAATTGTTATTTTTGCTACATTATTTAGGTAGCATTTTTAACCAGTAAACAGAAAAAGGTTTTATTTTGGTTGTGCTAAAATTACCTGTAATTTTTCAGCTTTATATTGTGTTGAAATAATACAAAGTAAGTGAAGAACTAATATTTAACTAATTACAGGCATAATTTATATTAGAAATATAAAACTATTCTGTATTATTCAAGCCTTTTTATATTGCATGAAAATTTGTGTCAAATGCAATAAAGACCTTAAGTTTCATAGCAAAATAATAGCTGGTGTAAAAAAAGCTTGCATAAAAAAGGTGTGTTTTTTTTCTTTCATTGTATAGACAGAAAAAGAATGAAAACTCTAGATCAAACAGAGGACAAGAGCAAGCATCTCTTCCCACTACTACATATAGTCATGGTTTCAAATGTCACAGGGATTACTCTCCATCTAAAAGTAAGGTTAAATATCAGAATTAACCATGCCAGTACTACATATCTCATCTAGCAAAGAAGCCAGTGATAATCGGTAATGTATTTCTTTGTTATTTACAGTCTACATTCAATTAGCAAACAAACAGATTAACAACCTTTTTCGATCTCCACACCCACAATATAGTGTATCATTTATTTAGCTACTTGGATAGTAACTACTTCATTTTTTTTCTAACCCAAGTTTGCTTTCCTGGTGTTATTGGAAATTTGAAAGCTGCATAATTTGACAAGTGTGTGTAGTGTGCTTCCAGATGAGTGTTGTATTTTTCTCCCTTTCTCTAATGGTATGCTCTTGATGATGACTAAAATCTTGGTTTATATCTATTGCTAAAGAAGCTGGTGAATAGTTATTAATGTAATTATTTAGCTTGCATCTATTTGTTATGTATAAATCACTTCCTTTACATACTTATTCATAGTGTATACTCTTAATATTGTTATATAAATCAAAAATACTCTATTACTAGTTGAAAGCTGAGTGGTTAACTTGACTGAACTGTGAATCAGAAGATTCAATGTTTGTGACCTGTCAACTAGATACTCTCCCTCTAGTCTGTCAGTTCAAAATTAGGAACAGCTATGATTTTTGTTGCTTTGCACATGTTTCTGAAACAAACAAATCTAATTTAACTCTGCCTACCCAGATGAATAACTGGATATTGTATGGCTTATTTTATTGCATTGTAAAAGAAACAAAACTGATGAATGAAACATTTTGAAACCAAAACTTTTCACAGATGTGTTAGCTTCTACAAATAAAATATATTATTTTCATATGTGATATTTGCAGTTTTAAAAATTTGAAGAGATTACATTGTGATATTTTAAAAAAACAAACAAAATGCTTACCATTATTTTGGACTTTAGTTATTGATTTGTATGTTTTCCTACTTTTTAAAAAATTGTGAATCAAAAGGTTTTGTTTAGTGTATATATGTATATAGCAAGTTTAAACCTTTTTAAAATTCTTTGTTTGTGTGTGTGTATATATATATATATATATTTATTTTTTTTTTTTTTACATTT